GATTAGCAGCATGCGCATCGTCAGGATCATCACCATCACCAACATCACCATCAGTTCCGCCATCATCCCCATCATCATCAACATCGCCGTCAGCATCACCATCAACACCTTCGTCGTCGACATCGCCAACCTCGCCATCACTGTCATCATCCTCATCATTGCCAGCATCTTGCATTGGTGGTATCATCATGGGCACCATCGTCGTCATCATCAGCATCAGCGGTATCGTTGTCACCGTCGTCATTCGCATCGTCATCATCATCGTCATCACATTGATCAGGATCATCAATTTCATTTCCACCGTCGTCATCATCAGCAGTCTCAATGACATAACCATCCGCATCATCGACATCAGGTCTGACGTTAGGTCTGACGTCATGTATGGTGTTGGTTCGAAATCATCCATGTCATTGTCGCCGTCGCCCGCGCCATCGCCATGATCAACGTCATGGGATGGTCATCACCATGGTGTGGGTATCATCATGAGAACAACTATGGCGTCATCCCCAACACTATCCGCATCAACGTAATCGTCATCATCGTCGTAGTCGTCGTCGTAGTTATGACCGTCATGGTCACCGGCATGACCATGACCGTCGTCATGGCATCATAATTCGCATAATCATAATTATCAGCCTAGTCATCCTCCTCTTGTCCGCGTTCCACCACATGGTTTTGCCACCGTGTTCACGGCGGTCCCGCCTGTTACGCCACTCTGCGTCAGTTGATATTCCCCATGCACGTATCAGTACATGTGCACGTGTACGACTTCGTACATGTCTTTTCATTCGTTGACACTGCCGGTTAGAAACAGCGAGGCGAAACATAGTGAACGCCCATACAGCGACGTGAAAACAGGTTGAGGCAACATCTCGGATATCAGCATCATTATCATCACCATCATCCGCATCATCAGCATCACCATCACCATCATATTCATCATCATCACCAACACCATCATCATCGCCACTACCATCGCCGGCGCCACCGTCATAATCATCACTACCATCCGAATTTGTTTCATTGCCATCATCATCAACAACATCACCATCGCCATCGCCATCGTCGTCATCACCATCGTCATCATCGTAATCGCCATCATTATCTTCACCCTAATGACCATCATATTTATCATCATCAGCATGATACGCATAATTGTCATACACATCAGTTTCGTTATACTCATCATCGTCATCGTCAGCATCATCGTAATCGACGGTCGGTGGCGGTTGGCAAAGACTGGTCTGACGAATTCAATTTTTCAGACTAGCGGCTTGGATAAATCGGTAACGGCGCTTCCGACCGTCATCGATTTTTCCGGTAACGGCGTTTTCGGTCGCGATCGCTCGTTGCCGAATTTTGCGATAATGACGTCGTTGCTTCTTTTTCCTTTCCGCTACCAACAAACTTCGGTCGCGCAGAATTTGGGTCCCGTTCGTTTCGGAATCGGTTCCGGTTCGGTTCGGTTCGGTTCAACATTTGGTCGTTTGGTTCTGGTTCGGTTCGGTTTTTGTTGATAAAAGTGCATTTCGCGCCGGTTCGGTTCGGCCTGGTTCGGTTCGGCCGAATCGGTTCGGTTCCTGAGCCTTCTTGAAGATTCGAGATCGAGAAGGAATCGGAGGGAAAGTGAGGAGGATGAGGAGGAGGAGGAGAAGGAAGAGTGAGGAGGAGGAGGAGGGAGGAAGAAGAGTAGATGGAGAAGGAGGAGGGGCAGGGAGGAGGGGGAGCAGGGTGGAACAACCTTGGAGCAATCAGTGATGATGGTGAGGATGATGATGATGCTGATGCTGATGCTGTTGCTGTTGCTGATGCTGATGCTGGTGATGATGCTGATGATGATAATGCTGCTGCTGCTGATGATGATGATGATGATGATGACGGTGATGCTGCTGATACGGATGCTGCTGCTGATGATGATGATTATGATGGCGATGAACATGAGGGTGGGGACGATGGTGGTGATGCTGATGCTGCTGATGATGCTGATCCTACTTCATAATATCCAGCTGCCTGCGGCAAACCCGCCACCGCGCCTGTGCAACAGTGCAGCAGGAATGAGGCGGAGTGTAGGAACAGCGCAATTCCAACGAGTAGTCTGCATTTGGGCGGGTCGTGATCCCGACCTCGTCGTCTTCCGCGCGGTAGGGAGGAGGAAGAGGAGGAGGAGGAGGAGGAAATGAGAAAGACGAGGAAACAGCTTTTTTTGGGGTGTTATTGGGGCCTTCTTGGGGTTTCCTGGGGGCCTCCTGGGTTCTTCATGAAATCCCTTTTGGGGACCTCATGGGGCCTCTAGGGTGCCTCTTGGGGCCTCCTGGGCCGTGTTAGAGGATTCTTGGCCCATCTAGCGCCTCCAGAGGCTGCCTTTCAGGCCTCTCTAGGTCGCGTTGGTGCCCTCTTGGAGCGGTTCACGGTCGTTTTGGGGCCCTCTTGGGAACCCCTTGGTTTTTGGGGCCTCTTGGGCCGACTTGGGACCCTCTCGGGGGCCTCTTGGGCTGCCTAGGAGATTTCTTGGAGACCTCCTGGGGGCTTCTTGGACCGCCTTGGGCGAGAGGAAACCCGAACAGGTGAGGACCTCAACATATTTCAATCACCTATGCAACATCAATGGTTTTGGCCTCCTCGGACTCTCCAGGAGGGCCTCTTAGAGACCTCTTGCCCCGTCTTTGGGGTTTCTTGATCTGTGTTGAGGCTGTCTTGGGAGCCTCTTAAGCCGTCTTGCCCCATCTTGGGCCATCTTGGCGTCACCTTGGCTGCCTTGAACGCAGGCCTGGAGGCGATGCGGCTCCCAGTCATGCCGCAAGGCAGATCAAGAGGCCCTCCAGGAGAGCCCGAGGATGCCCAAACCATTGACTTTCCTTGGGTTCTTGATGTTTTTGAGGTTCTGGCATGTTTGGGTTTCCGACCTTCCAAGACAGTCAAAGAGGCCTTTGGGCCGTCTTGCTGCTTTCCTGGGTCGCTTCAAGGCCGTCTTGGGGCCTTCTTTGGGAGCTCCTTTGCGATCTTTGGGTCCTCTTGGGCCAGTGAGTGGGATTGTGTGGTCGCCCGAGGGAGTGGTGCCCCTCAGGTGGCCTGGGGCGGCACGACCCAGAGAGAGTGTCGATATCTGAGCGGGTGCGGCAAGCGGGCGCGGTTCGAAAAATGGCCTAGCGGCATGTATGCCGTTCTCGTTAGTTTGTTGCTTGTGGCACGCCTAGGAGCTGTGCGGGAACTGAGTTCCACGAGCGGCCGCTTTTCCAATTTGTCAGCTCTGCTTCTCGCCGTGACCTAGGGCTCTGGTTCCTGCGTGCGCGGAAGGGCGCGCCTGGGTGGACGAGGTGTCACACTGCGTTAAATCAGTTGCTTGAACTGGCATAGCGAGAAGGCTTGCCAGTGGAGGTGGATGTAACAAAAATCCTCCTCCCCCTTATCTTTTTAGCACGACCGGTTGCCAATGATGCCTTCTGACCACGAGCACGGCTCTTTCCACGCTTGCTGTGTACTTGAACTGCAATTGTGCTCCGCCTACACCTCAGGGGACTGCTCCGCCGGAGCCGGCACGCAGGCTGAAACTCGGGCGAAGAGAACTATGCACATGCACCGATCTTGGCCTGGCCCATCCTTGACCCAGGATGGGTGCATATGCCTTCCTGGCCAAGGTAGGAGGGCGTATGCACCGATCCTGGGCTCAGGATGGGCCTGGCCAGAATCGGTGTATGTGCATAGTACCTTTGCCTCTAGAAACGGAAACTGAATTCTGCCGCGTTAGGGCGTCCCCGGTCCTCGACGCGCTCGGACCCCCGTTTGGAGCCGTCTCCGAGCCGCGTCCGGCCGTGGCGGCCGGGGCCCCGCGGGGAAGCCGCCGAGGTGACGGGGGTCCTCCTCCTTCCCTTCGTTCTCGGCGCTCGTCCTGGTGGAGGGCGAGGGGGAGGAGGAGGAGGAGGAGGAGGAGGAGGAGGAGGAGAAAACGGTCCGGATTGATCAGGGTTTGAAGGAAGGAGAACCAGGAACCATGATGATGATGATGATGATGATGATGATGATGATGATGATGATGATGATGATGATGATGGTGATGGTGATGGTGATGGTGATGGTGATGATGATGATGATGGTGCTGATGATGGTGATGATGATGATGGTGATGGTGATGGGGATGGGGATTGTGATCATGATGACGTTGGTGTTGATGTTGGTGATGGTGATCATGATGACGTTGGTGTTGATGCTGTGATAGTTTTGATGGGTGCTGTGGTTGCCGATGATGTCGATGTTGGTAATGATGATGGTGATGTTGCTGATGCTGATGCTGCTGATGATGATGATGATTGTGATGATGCTGATGATGATGATGATGATGATGATGATGATGATGATGATGATGATGGTGATGGTGATGGTGATGGTGATGATGATGATCGGATGCTGATGATCGGATGCTGATGGTGATGATGATGATGATGATGATGATGATGATGAAGGTGGTGGTGATGATGTTGTCGCTGATGGTGGTGGTGGCGGTGAAGATGTGTATGTTGCTGCTGTTGATGGATGACGATGCTGCTGCTGCTGCTGCTGATGATGATGATGATGATGATGATGATGAGGAGGAGGAGGAGGAGGAGGAGGAGGAGGAGGACGAAGAGGAGTAGGGGGAGGGTGGGAAAAAGGGACAAGAGAAGGAGGACGAGGACGAGGAGGAGTAGGGTGAGGAGGAGGAAGAGAAGGAGGAGGAAGAGGAGGAGGAGGAACAGGATGATGAGGTGGGGCATGATGAGGAGGAAGGAGTAGGGTGAGAAGGAGGAGGAGGAGGAGGAGGGGGAGCCTCCCCCTCCTCTGGCTGCCGCTGCGGCTCAGCATGGTTGGTGATACGCATTGCTGAGTGTAGAGATCATGTTGGTGGCTCGGGCGCACGTTTCTATATATAAATACATGTATAGATGTATGTGTGTATATATGTATATAGATATATACACATATCTCTCTCTCTATATATATATAGATACAAGCCGCCGCCGGAGCAGGTGTGGGCCTCCTCCCCCAGCAGCCTCGGCGGCGGCGGGTGCTACGACGCGGCCGCCAGGTTGGGCGCGCCGCCCAGGAGCCTCCAGGAGGAGGCTGGCGAGGAGTGGGGATGGGAGACGGGGGGGGGAGGTGAGAGGGGGGGAGAGGGGGGGCAGGGGGGGGAGATGTGGACGAGGGAGGGGGGAGGAGGGGGAGGGGGTCGAGGGGCGGTGGGGGGGACGGCGGATAGGGAGGAGGAGGAGGAGGAGGAGGAGGAGGAGGAGGAGGAGGAGGAGGAGGAGGAGGAGGAGGAGGAGGAGGAGGAGGGGAGAGGGGGAGAGGAAGGGCAGGGGGGAGGGTGGAGCTGTGTCTTCAATGGCCGCCAGCACTGCCACCTTCCCAAACTGAACCGTTCTCTGGCGGAATGGTCCCTGACACTCGTTCAAACTGGACCTTCCACAGGCGGAATGGCGCCTACACCCGCTGTCTGAGCGCGCACCCCCAAGCTTCCGCAGAACCGCGTTTTAAGTTACGCGGCATTTCGTTTATGAACCCTTATGGCCTCAATTCCCTCTCGGACTTTTGCTGGGGTCTGTCCTCGGACCCATCTCGGACTGCCGTGTCCAGCCGAGACAGACAGGCATCTGACCGTGTTTGGACTGACGTTATACAGAATCCTGTCCCGATCCGCGAGATTTCGTCATACTCGTCATCATCGTCATCATCATGGTAGCAATCATCATCATCATCATCATCAGCATCATCATCATCATCATCATCATCATCATCATCATCATCATCATCATTATCACCATCATCATCATCATCATCATCATCATCATCAGCATCAGCATCAGCATCATCATCATCATCATCATCATCATCACCACCACCATCATCATCATCATCATCATCATCATCATCATCATAATCATCATCATTAGCATCACCATCATCATCATCATCACCATCTCCATCACCATCACCATCACCATCACCATCACCATCACCATCATGATATCCACCATCATCGCAACTCTCATACTCAGCATTGTCGTTGTGATCGTCATCAGTGTCATCACAGGCGTCATCAGTATCATCATCATCATCATCATCATCATCATCATCATCATCATCATCCCAATCAACATCATCAGGATCATCACCATCACCATTATCATCATCACCACCACAATTGCCATTGCCATTGTGACGACCATCACCATCACCATCACCATCAACATCATCACCACCAACAGTATCCATCCACACTCCACACTCAGGCCCATCCACACTGACTCATTCATATCCGTATGTAACCACACTTTCCGTCGGTGGCGAGGCAGAGTTGGCTGCACTGGCAATAGAGCTAGACGGGGACACCCGAAAGCGAATTGGCCGCGTCAAGGGGCACGTGTATCGGTCTGGGAGCGGAGCTGTTGAACTGCAGCGGCAGAGGCCGAGGGGACCGCGCGTTGCCGGGGTGGACAGCACGCGGCCAGGGTTAGAGTTGTTTTTCCGTAATCTGACTTTTCACATTCATACCCGCTTGCAGTCATACCCACTCATGCACATCATCGCTTACAGTCGGACCCGCTCAACTCACGCATGCTCAGACCATTCGCGCTCAGACACATCCACGCATACTCATTCATATTCGTATGTAACCACGCACAGACCCACCCATTCCCAAACGCGCTCAAACACATTCCCGCTCGTATATCCTCAAGGGTCCAACCTGCTCAGATTAGCTATCATATGTTGTTAAGGCATCCAGGGTTAGATGCTTTACTTACGGATGTGCTCTAATTAAGAAACAGAGCTCCCCTGCGACATCTATGTTGATGTCATGTAATTTCATGCTATTCCGCACCACCCTTCCTCCCTCCCTCCTCTACTTCTCTTCCCCCTCCTGCCTTGCGGAGTCCCCTCGACAGGGGGCGCCGCCCCCCTCGCCGCGATGTTTTGCTTCAGCGGGCGAGAAGAGCGCAAAGGGGGGCGCGGGCCCGATTCTGGTCGCGAAGACGGCGCGTGGCTTCACTCAGTGACGCCGTCGCCGCTGGTTCGCCCGCCTGTCCCTCTCGCCGTCCTGGGCCGCGCGCGCCTCCGCCGCGATCGCGGGGCGCTCCTCGACCATCCTCTCGGCCGTGGGCGCGTCGACGTTCCGCAGCTCCGCAATGGGGCTCAAGCAGCCATCCTGGACGCGCTGCTGGCGGCATCGATGCCGCCTGGAACCGCCCTGCGGCCGCGCGAAGCGCTGGGGCCCCGCGCTGTCCGCAGCGCCGATGGCGCCGCGCGCGGAGCATCGAGCGCCCCAGGCAGCCATCAGCACAGCGGCGAATTTGCGGGCAGCTTGAAAGAAAAACTCGTTGGCCAAAAGCGGCCGCGGCAAATCGATGAAGAAAAAAGATAAATGGCGCGATTGCAACTCGGGCGGCGCGGGAGGAGGGCTGCGAGGGGGGAAGCCCCGAGGCGGATCGATATGCCCTTCCTGCGCAGGAGGGAAAAGTGGAGACGACCTCTGTCTATGAGAAAGACGAAGCGATCCCATCGCGAGATCCACGCGAAGGGCTGAGAGAACAATCTGGACATCAGTGCGGCGCTGAACCCTTTGGGCGCGAGCGCGTTGCCGCGACGCTGGCGAAGTGAGCGCCCGTGCCCCCGGTGTCCTCGTCTCTGTAAGGCCAGCATGTTTCGGGCTGATGCCCCCGCGGGGCTTCTAAGCCCATTTCGAGCAATGGATGAATATTCTGTCTCATGTGATACGCTCTGGGGCGCGCGCCGCGCTGGGCGGCGGGTTGCTGGCTGAACTCGATCGACTGGCCATGCTGAGTGCACCCTTTCATGTTACCACTTCGCAAGCAAAGGCAACGCTGAGACACATGCTACATAGCATGTCTCACCGCTGCCTCCTCGGCGACGCTCGGGTCGCACAGCTCGTCCGCGAGCGTTTTCCCACAGGGGGCTATGTGTCGGATAACAGCGGCTTGCCCTGGAAGGCGCAGTGTTTTTGCTGTGTCTGATGGTCTTCCTGGTCAAGGGGTGGATCCGAGCCGCTTCTGGTGCCCGTCCGTGCCAACGCGCTCAGGCGCCCCCGTGGCGCCTCGCATTGTTCGTCGCGCGCGGGGCCTGTCAATTTTTCAAAATGCATTAATCCGAAGAACATTTGCCCCAACCAACCGGCGGCCGCGCCCGAGTCGATTGCGCGTGGCCAATCGGTTTTCCAGGCCGACTGGGTCGACCCATGGGATTGACGTCGTTGGCGGTATAGTAATTACCTGTTCCAATTAGTGTCGGATCAGTTGCGTCTTCGCGCGCCCGCTGCCCCGCCGCGGCGCCGCGCTGCCGACGCGCTCTGGCCGAGGGGCCCGCGCGGGCGAGGGGGGGGGGGGGGCGCGGGAGAAAAAGGCGAGGAATGACGGGCCCGCCGCGGCATCGCGCGGCACCTCCAGCAGCGGCCCGCCCTGTCGTTGAGCTGCGGGGGGCGGGGGCTTGTTTCCGGCGCCCCCAAACTGCGCGCGTCTGCGCCAGCGCGGACCTGTAGCCTGGATCAGCGCCTGCCTTCTTGCTCATGCGAAAGTCAGATTTCCACCAAGCTCTGCCGTCGCGGCGGGCCGGGGGGGCATTTCCCTGCAGCCGCGAGAAGAACGTTTAAGAAATCTCGGTGAACATGTCATGCCACGTGTTCGTGCTCATGGAAACCTTTATCGTGCTTTGGGCGGTCCTGGCACATTTAAACGCGCGGTGTCTATTGACTGGTCGCGGCCCCGCTGGCGCGGGGCGCCGTCGGCCCGCAGACTTGCAGGACTCGCCGAAACGAATTGCATTGCCAGGCGGCAGCGTTGCACGTGGCTCTCCCCAACTTTATCCAGACTTTTGGTGTCCTCCAGTTTTTACCTAACAGAGAAGACTGATCGGTTTCTAGTGGCGTCAAAAGAGAGCATCTTGACTCCCCAGGGGGGTCTGGGCGGGATCCGGACGGGATCTGGGGGAATTTGGTCTTCGAGTTCCCAGAATTGTTTTCCTGGGCATGATTTTGAATACCCAGAGCCAACTGTAGGCCACTTCGTGTTCTTCGAGTTCCCAGAACTCCATTCCTGGGCATGGTTTTGAATGCCCGGAGCCTGAAGCAGGCCACTTCGTGGCCTTCGAGTTCGCAGAACTCCATTCCTGGGCATGATTTGGAATGCCCGGAGCCAAATGTAAGCCATTTCGTGGTCTTCGAGTGCCCAATACATCATTCCTGGGCATGACTTTGAATGCCCGGAGCCAACTGTAGGCCACTTCGTGTTCTTCGAGCTCCCAGAACTCCAGTCCCTGGCCACATTTGGAATGCTGAGGCAGGCTGATGTTGAGGCTGAGGCAGGCTGAGGCTGAGGCAGGCTGAGGCTGAGGCCGAGGCTGAAGGCAGACTGAGGGTGAGGCTGAAGCAGGCTGACGCTGAGGCTGAGGCAGGCTGAGGCTGAGGCTGAGGCAGGCTGATGCTGATGCAGGCTGCGGCTGAGGCTGAGGCTGATGCAGGCTGAGGCTGAGGCAGGCCGAGGCTGAGGCCGAGGCTGCAGTGAAGGCAGACTGAGGCTAAGGCTGAAGCAGGCTGAGGCTGAGGCTGAGGCTGAGGCAGGCTGAGGCTGAGGCTGAGGCAGGCTGACGCTGATGCAGGCTGAGGCTGAGGCTGAGGCTGATGCAGGCTGAGGCTGAGGCAGGCTGAGGCTGAGGCCGAGGCTGAAGGCAGACTGAGGCTGAGGCTGAAGCAGGCTGAGGCTGAGGCTGAGGCAGGCTGAGGCTGAGGCAGGCTGAGGCTGAGGCCGAGGCTGAAGGCAGACTGAGGCTGAGGCTGAAGCAGGCTGAGGCTGAGGCAGGCAGGCTGAGGCTGAGGCTGAGGCAGGCTGATGCTGAGGCAGGCTGAGGCTGAGGCTGAGGAGGCTGAGGCTGAGGCTGAGGCAGGCTGAGGCTGAGGCCGAGGCTGAAGGCAGACTGAGGCTGAGGCTGAAGCAGGCTGAGGCTGAGGCTGAGGCAGGCTGAGGCTGAGGCTGAGGCAGGCTGAGGCTGAGGCAGGCTGAGGCTGAGGCTGAGGCTGAG